TTTTTTTTTTTTTTTTTTTTTTTTTTTTTTTTTTTTTTTTTTGCAGAAAGTCACAAACTAATTATAACATTTATGGAACATAAAATATGGAAATGTAAAGGACCCAGAATAGCCCAGTCTGGGAAAAAAAGAAAATTTGAAGTCTTAGACTTTTCAGTTTAAAAATTTATTATGAAGCTATAGTAACCAAGACAATATGGTGATGGCATGAGGATAAACATGGGGAATTCAGAAATGAAACCTATGTGGTCACTTCATTTTTGACAAAGGTAACAAGGCAATTTTTTTTTTTTTAAATTGGTGGTAACGTGATAGAATTTATTCCCAATATCTGATATTACAAACTTTAGGGTCCTTGAGATATGCAGGATCCTTGTATGTAACTGGCATAAACCCCAATATTTGAGTTCTCTTAATTGCTTTTGTGATTTCTTTCTGTTTCTTCCCACAAAGACCTGTAATGTGCCTTCCATAAATGCATCCAGTAAATGGAGAAACAAACTGGGACAAAAGCTGTACATTCTTATAATCTACACGCTTTCCACACAAGATACACTTCTTAAGTGGTTCTTTATAAGGGTTTTCCATTGGAATGGGCAGGTCCTCACTGCTGGATACCTGTTTATATGGTGAACAACCTCTTCTCCACAGCACCGTGTGAATCCCGGGATGTGTAAGGCTGACAGCAGCCGTTACCAGGTGTGTCAACTTCTTCCTCCCTAGACCACCGCAAGCAGCAACCATAGTGGCCATGATTCCGCCAATTTTTTTTTAATTTAAAATTTTTTACAAATACAGGTGGTCTCACTGTGTTGCCCAGGCTGGTCTTGAACTCCTGGCCTCAGGTGATCATCCCACCTCAGCCTCCCAAAGTGTTAGGATTACAGATATAAGCCACCAAGCCTGGCTGACAAGGCAATTTAATGAGGGAAAGAATGGTCTTTTAAATACATCGTGCTGATGTAGTTGAATTTCCAAATGCAGAACAATGAATTTAGAACTTTACTATACACCATACATAAAAATTAAAGTAGATAACAGTGTGGTCATTCCTCAGAAAATTAAACACAGAAGTCCGGTAGTGTGATGCCTCCTGCTTTGTTTGCTTAGAATTAACTTGGCCATGTGGGCTCTCTTTTGGTTCCACATGAAGTTTGAGGTGTTTTTTTTTCAGTTCTGTGAAGAAGGTCATTGGTAGCTTGATGGGGATAGTGTTGAATCTGTAAATTACTTTGGGCAGTATGGCCATTTTCACAATATTGATTC